CTCGATATGATGTCATACTCAAAATGCCATGGATGGAGCAATATAATTTAGAGGTAGATTGAAGAAGAAAAGTGATTACAAGTAGTGGTTGGAAGATCTATGGAGATAAAATTAGATCTCATGATAGAATTTTACTCCTCTTTGTGATGGATGTAATATCTAATTCTAGACATGATGTATGTTTTGTTAGACCTATAAGAGATATTGGATCTATGGACAAATCTTACATCCTTGAATGACATTTTTATGGAATATAAAGATGTTTTTCCAAATGATATACCTACAGCATTACCACCAAAAAGGTGGGTAGATCACAATTTAGAGGTGATACTTGGAAGTTTATCAACTTGCAAAGCTTCATATATTTTGGCTCCAAACGAATTGGAAAAATGCAAAGCTCAAGTGGAGGAGATGTTGAGCAAAGGATTCATCCAACCAAGTAATTCACTTTATGAATGCTCTTTTTGAAGAAAAAGTATTGATCCATGAAACTATGTATCTACTACTAGGGGTTGAATCTGCAAACGGTGAAAAAAAAATATCCATTACCTTGTATGAATGATTTGTTTAATCAACTTCAAGTAACAAAGTATTTCACCAAGCTAGATTTTAGAAGCGGCTACAATCAAATTTGAATTGCAGATGATGATGTCCACAAGACTGATTTTTGTACTAGTGAGTATCTAGTGATGCCTTTTGGTCTCACTAATGCATCAACTACATTCATGGAATTGATGAACGATATTTTTTGCCTTTATCTAGATAAATCTATCATTGTTTTTTTAGATGATCTATTGATGTATAGCAAAACTTTAAGTGATCATAGACGTCCTTTACGAGAGGTAATTCAAACTTTTGATAAACAATCAATTGTATGCCAAAGCTTAAAAATGTGAATTTGACAAATCAAAAGTAGATTACATGGGTCATAGAGTTACAACAGCAAGTATCCAAGTAATGATTGAGATGATAAATGCCATTAAGAAATGGACAGCACATGAGGATCAAACTCAGTTGAAAAGCTTTCTAGGACTCACTGGATTCTATCGTAGATTGTGAAAGGTTTGCTCGCCTAGCTCTGGCCTTGACTTCCATGTTAGGCAAAGATAAAAAATGGAGATGGAAAACAACACAAGACTTAGCTTTTCAAGCATTGAAAGATTTTTTGTTACACGCACCTATCCTCAAATGGTATGATCTTAACCGTCCTATCAATTTGGCTACTAATGTAGCAGTTATAACGGTAGGTGGCATACTTTAACAAGAATGGAAGGATATATGACACATAATTGCTTTCTATTTTTGAAAGTTGGTGGCGGCAGAACAAAATCATCACACGACAAAACGGGAAGAGTTAGCCATTGTGTTTGCAACCAAACACTAGAAGCATTACTTGGGTGATAAGGAGTTTGTGGTGGAGACCGATCATAAACCTTGGTTTATTTACAAACTCAGAAGGATCTGTCTAAACAAAAAATTTGATGAGCAGAGTGGCGTCAACGCTTCAAGATGAAGATTGTGTATTTGAATAGCAAAAAGCAACTTGCTGATGCTCTCACACGCATGCTTTGTTTGAATCATGTTGCAAAAGTGAAGATTCAAGCCGATTGATGGAACAAGATGACACATGCCACAAAGAAGTATGAAGAGATCATGAGGGCACTACAAGTTGGAAGTGAAAAGAAGGCTAAAGGTTTGGCGTTCTACAAACAACGTATATGAATGTTGCAAGAACAAGAGTTACGCACAATGATTTTATCAGAAAATCATGATACAATCATTGTAGGTCATGTGGAAGTTATAAAGAATTTGTCATGTGATTTTGTCTATTATTAAAGATAGCAATTGGCCTAGGGTTTCAATTCTGATGGTTTTAGGGTCGACGACGGCTCAAAAAACGTCAGATTTTTGAGTCGAGCCTGTTAGCGTTGGGAGCTGTGCGTCTGCCCGCAAGCATTGACCTAAAGTCTGTTTGGAGTGGGTTGGGCTTGACTTATGTTTGTGACGGTTTTTTGCCTGTGGCGTAATTGAAACAGACGGGTTTTTAAGTGGGAAAAACCACGTATTTTCACTTGAAGAAATCCCATTTGGGTTTAGTTGAAATTTGAATTGAGTTTGCATTTATTCGTAGTCGTGAGATGGTGTGTGAATTTTGGTGGGAATTCAGAAGTTTCCACTCGAGGAGTCAAGGCTCTTGGGAGATAAGGGTTTTCGGAATCGTATGGTGAAACTGATTTGGGACATTTTGACAAGATACATGTGTGTGCTCGATCGAAAGATTTGGTGATCTGGATTTGAATTTGGATCTGTGGGGTTTGTGATGAAAGGATTGGAGAAAATGAGGTGACATGAGTAAGGTTTCCACTGAATTTTGACACAATTAAGATTCTGTCAGCGAGGCCAGAAAGGAGACGGTTCTACGTTCTTGGGTTGAATTACATGTCGCCCGTAAGTCGACATCCCTTGTCTTTCATCGGAACGAGCTTGATTTCTGTCCATCGCAGTGAAGTGATGTTTTTTGCATAGTTGCCCACAAGCCTTTACAGGAAGATTCAAGCTAAGTTTCCCATTCACACCGATAGGCAGGCTCCACAAATCCGTAGCAATTTCCGAGATTCACTTGAATGGTTCTAGGAGAAGGATGGAAGAAACGTGCACGTTAGTGGTGAATAAGAGCCAGTAGTCATCCGTAACTTAGTTTGAAAAGTTAAATCACAAAAGCGGAGTAAGATTCTTATTCTATTGAAGATCCAAATGGGAACTATAAGTCCAAAACTAGAAGTATTGAACTGGTTTTTCTGAAAAACAATGTCTCGGAGATATATTTTGCGTTTCAGAGTGGTGATTTGAAGAAGCAAGTAATATTCGTACGGGGATTTGTATTGGCGTGTTCGAGCGTAGCGCTGTTAAAAGCGGGACAAGCGGAACTATACTTATCGATCGATATGTTACATCTGTCACGCAAAGTACTTGGTGAGTTGTCAGTGAAGAAGCTGCGTTCATTGTCGCAAATCACAAGGTAGGAGAACCTCTTGATAGTGACAAGGATGAAGACCCCATACGAGTTGAGAGCGTTCAAATGCAAAGTCATAAGAAGCGAGTTGCATCTTCTAAGGATCATATCGCTCCAAGCGTTGAGAGCCTTGTCGGGCGACCTAAGAAAGCGAAGGCACCTACGTCTAACCAGCCTTCAATTTTGACATTCTTTTCCAAATGCCCATAGAGTCATAGACCTAACAATAAGGCCGCGCAGTCACGCAATAAAAAACATTGTCCCAGAATTCACTTTCCTTCTATTAGCACATAGAACTCGTTGCGCTCTTCATTTCTAGCCCGTTTTCATAAAATGTGGACCACTTTTCGCAAAGTTAATGCAATTCGCGCATATCCGGGTTACCACGGTAATTGGCTTTCCGCCATTGGTCTCATATATCTCAAAGGTTTTTCTTACTTGATCTTGTGTTTGATGCAATTGCATATAATTTATTAAGAAAAATGATGTATACTGCACTATGATTAAGATTTCAATGAAAATAAATCTATGATTGAAATTGGGTTACATTTTAAGTTGAAGGTATAAATTGGAGATGTATATTGTTGAAATGCATAAGTTAATTCATGACGTTGGGATTTTGTGCTGCCAACATTTAGTTATAGCAGAAGGAACAAAAAATATATGTTTATTTGACACAAGTTGTTCTTTTAAGATTATTGAAAATATTACACACAAACTCTGTGTGTATGTTTAGTGAAAGAATCCACCAATTATGAATTAATGTGTTTTGTGATTTGTATGTGTTTATCCTGAATATTGGTACACAAAGGCAAGATGAAATGAATGAAAGAATAGCAAGAAGAGAATTCTTGAATGAATGCTCATCATGCTTGAACATTCAAAAATACTCGACATTATTATCAACTCTAGTTCAATTTTGACATGGGTAGTGAAGCATTCATGATCCATAAAAGAATGAAAATAAGTACTGGAATCTCTCGGTTAAGAACACACCTTGAACCTGGAAGCATAGTGTGTATTGAGCCGAAAGGTGTGTACTTTAAAAGTATCACTTCCTAATGGTGTGGTTTTGTTACAATATCAAAGAAAGCTAGCAGAAAACGCCTCAATGAGTCCCAGAGATGTGGTATCATAGAGAACCTAAGGAATACGTATGCTCTATGTAAAGCAGCTCTAGAGCGTGAGTACGATGTTAGTGAAAGAGCTTTCAAAAAGACGTGGAACAAGCGGAAATAGATGTCCATTGAAACCTTAATAGGGCCGAGATTACGACGCGGTGCTACTTGAGTGGCATATATATTTCTAACTCATTTGTTTAATGCTGATAGTTACATAAATAAAATTTGAAATTCAATGTTCCCAAACTTTATCGACAATGTATTTTTGAAGGCAAAAATAAAAACATTACAAGTCAATAGTGAAGCAGTATACCGGATGGAGTATTCAATGACCAAACTTGCACAAGCTATCACAACTTTAAATATTCTCGGTTGGGAAGAAGAGATTAAAGAATTTTTTCATGTCGACGATTACACCATTAAGTTTTGCTCTCGCAATTTTGGAAAACATGGAAAAGGTTTTGGAGACTATGAAGATGATTGAAGAGAAAATGTACAATGGTAATGATGATGAAATTCTTTTCTCTCAAGATTCAAATTCGGGTTTGTGGATATAGAGCATCAATTGCTCTGATTGGAAGTTTGAGAAGAGGCCGATGAAAATTTTCATGATATTATAAAGTTGTTTAATAGCTTCAAACGCAATAATCTTATCTTCAAATCTTACGCCACATTACAATCCATGACATGTTAAACTAAATATATGTGATCCCTAAATTTGTAGGAAAGATAATGCTTAAGAGGGAGGCTATATAGGAAAACACTATCAAGGTTTACACGGATGAAGTCTAACCGGTGTTATTTTTCTTACCATGGTTGGAGTATATTCTTGCTGTTATATTTACTAACTCGGCCTGTTTGACAGTCGGCCGGTGTCTGTTTGGGGAAGCAGTATGTGAGCGCGCTCTCTATATCGTCATCTCCATTTCCCGCTACGCAACTCATATATATCGACAGTTTCATGCATCTTTGTTGCGCACGATATCATCCGGTCGTGCGGTGGACGCCGCCTCTGTAGCATGTCTCAATTGTTTCAGTCGCGGTCGATTTCCTTCTCCTGCTAAGACAGGGAATAGGCCGTGGTGCGTTGGTACTCTAACATTTGGCAGGCAAACAGGAAAAGCTATCTCGCCATTGTACTCCGCACTCATGTCAGGACGGAGCCGAAGTTGCTAGGTTAGGTACGTGCTGCTCTTGAGAGCATTTGATCACGCCAAGAGATCGTATCAGATTTACAATGGCAGTTCCTATGTTACTCAATCTACTGCTGAAGAGGATACATTCCATTTTTGTTGGCTGCGTGCTCTGATCCAGCGGCTTCGGACGCGATTCCAAGCTTGTCAGTAGCTCCACATCGAGATCATTGTATCGAAATCCTCGAATCGAAACCGTGGCGTAGGGAGTGAGAGAGAATGTATATACATATATATAAATATATAAAAAATATAAAAAATACTCATAATTTGTCTTTTACTCTATTTCGAAGCTGAATTGTGCTCATTCAGTTGCATTCTATGATTTCGCGATTCCTTAAACTTTTTGGGCCTAAGTTTTGAGCTATTCGATCTGTCTCTCTGACCAGCTTCAGGCTCTGCGACTTCCCAAACAATGCCGCTTTTGAAGAAGCCACCCACGGGGGCGAGCAGCAAGGCCTACAGTGTTCACCAACCCAACATTTTTTCTCGTGAAGTTGAGCTTTCTCGTAATACTCGCGGATCGCTGGAGATATTTGGTGGTGGCCCTCAGACTTCTCCCCTTCTGTTCTCGCGAACGCGTTCCGCATGGAAAGATGCTCTTCAATGCGCTGAGTCCCACCTTCAGGAGCACGACACCGGCAAAGTAGTGCCGTCGGTCTCAGGAACATCACCACCGTCGTCTCAACGGCCATTGATTTCAGGTAGTGGTGACCACCCAAGTGTTGTGTCGAGTGCCGCTCTGTATCCCCGATGTTGTGTACAGGATGATGTTTCGAAATGGCTAACAGATGCTGAAGTTTCTGGAGACACGTCAGAGTTACCTTCTTCTGTATCGAGACCCTTGGAGTTTGTTAGCGATACCAGAGATAATACTGACGTAAATCTCGAGGCGTCCAGTAAAACACTTTCGGGTTATCCTGTCGAGCCAACGAAGACAAGGGTGGAACAGGATTGGGACGAAGTTTTAAAACATAGGAGAGGGAAGAAGATATCGGGATTTTCCGAGATTAGCGATGAGGCTCTTTCTGAGAGAGCTGCTCAGTGGGGTTATGGAGTTGTTTTGAAGCCCTCAAATAATCGAGGATCGGGTTCAGCTGAGACCGAGGGGATTTCTAGACTGTCGTGGACTACAGGGAGTTCGGACACAAGTTCTGCATTGGGAAAGAGCTCGAGGACGACTTCGGAGGGTTCTAGTGCTTGCAGCAGTTTCTCCCCGATGATACCAGGGCTGTCGAAGAACGTGAAGGAGGCCTTGGCGTCTTTCCAGTTGGCATTTGTGGTCTGTGATGCTTTGAATGCTGAGTACCCTATCCTGTATGCCAGCGCTGGTTTCTTTAGTATGACTGGTTATACGGCCAAGGAGGTGGTAGGTAGAAACTGGTATGTTCCTTTTTCCTATGAGTGTGAATGCTGGTATGTTAAATCAACGTAGTCTTGACGGTGCGGAATGTCTGGAATAATACTTTGAATGTTGCTGCGTATCTTTTCTTTTTTTGCCTAAATTGTCTATACCTCGTATTTTGTCCCCACCATTTCCCGCTCATGCGCCGATATCAAACTTTATTTGAATGCAAATACTCGACTCGTGTGTTCTGCACACCACAGTTTCCATCCGTTATGTTCTTTACTTTCTCCTGTCCCTGCGCTTAGCTGCATTCAGTTGGTTTCATATTGTTTTACGGTACATCATCTTGATACGACTTATAAAATCTGCTCTGGTTATAAGCATAAACTAATCATAAAGACGCTTGTCTCCTTACCAAACACACATTGCATACTGCTTTTTGCATTTTATCACACGCAGTTTATCCCAGGTATAGCTCTACTGGTGGGGTCCAATCTGTCACTGAATTCCCTAGCCTTGAAATTAAGTTCAAGCGCCCGCTTCTCTTTCGACCCATAGCCGTTGGGGCTTTGTAATTTTTAGCTAGATGATCTAGAATAGAGTTATGTTTTGGTTCCAGCCTGCAAATGTCGAACTGAAGCCATTTATGGCAATTACTTCAATACAAAAGGAGACCCACTTCGCTCCCAAGTAGCTCTCTCGAGACACCCATTTGCATCATTTCATTTTCGCGGGATTCTACAGAGTCTGGATTTTATACTATTTTGATAGAATCCAAGCTCGCATGAACATCCCTTTTTGGCTACCTTCTTGTGACCTACTTACACACTTATCTTCCAGTTTCACATTTTTTTCTGCTGGACTTCCGTCTTTCTTGGATTTTCTCTGTATCTTTCTGGCGTCTGCTGTTATTTGGGCATCTGTTTTGAACTGGCGATTTGCTAATGTTGTGTGGCCGAGTATTAGGCCCCATTCAAGTAGTTTGCATGTCCATTGTCTATGCGACAATTTCTTTGTAATGAACGAGCGTGTAGTTCCAAATCTTATCTCGGTTTGCATTCATTTTTACCTGCAGCTGTAATTACGCTGTCAAGTTCTACCATCCTTCAAATGTCAGTTACAGCCCCAAGGTGTTCAACTGAGTACTTGTACTTGGTCTTGCTATATATTTACATGTTTCTTTAATTATTTCGTGACTCTCAGTGCCAGAGTTTTTCTCTATGAGGAGGGCCCAAGCAGAGTGCGGGCTCTATAGCACATGCTAGTCAGCACAGTATACGATTTTCCTCAGTGGTGTACGCAGCGTTCATTTTCTCAGTCGCGTATTGTACGAGGTTGGTCTGGTTCATACTGCTCTGTGAAAACTTCGTCTTTCACGTGGTTCTGAAGAAAAAAAACCCTTATTTACAGGGTAGTAATCTAGTTACACAGGTGTTTGATGTCGCCTAAAAATGGAAGAGAATTTTAGGCTGCACGCACGCAACCCACGCATACGGTACATAACCCACGCAAGGTAGTCTACTACCTTGCGTGGGTTATGTACCGCACATTGATGTGATTGTAAGTACTGTACCTCGAATTCCTAGTCTGCTCTTGTCGCATGTTTGGCGTTTTATGCTTTTTTCCAAACTCGCTGGTATCTTTTGAACATTTCAATGCTCTTGTCTTGTATCTATTTTCTAGGTTTTCCTGCCTCGTTGCCCTTAGAATTGTAGACACTTTTATTCATTGAGATGTCTGTTTCATTTGATTCGTAACATAAAAGGTCATTGTTTGGTTTTGCTCTTTATTTTTTTTGTTTCAGTGATTTTTCGGTTAAATTCTATGAAATCAACATTTCATCGATCATGGAGTGGCAAAATTATCCAAGCAGATATCCCGTGTGTGTGAACAGTCCCTGGAAAAATGTGGGGCACTTTACACATACTGGCTGAGGAATTAGCAATCTAAAGTGGTTATTGTCTAGTTACCGCTGCGAGTTCGTTTCTTGATAGTCAATGGCTTCTGATAATTTTCTACTCTAGACGAATACCAACACATTGGAGTTCAAGTACCATTTTTCACCTCAACGCGTAGTATTTAGGCTTAGACTTGACAACCGCACTTCTATGATGCATCTTCACCGCATACGTAGACCAAGTGCCCTTTCCTCCTAGAATTTCATCTTTCGATTCTAGCTTCCCCGTTTAGAGAATGCATGAACCAAAATTATGAGCTATGTAAGAAGTAACATTTGAAACTATGATTTACTTGAGTGCAATGGAAGCGATTTCTCCTGTTCTAAACCCGTTCCCTTTTCCTAGTATACTTTTCTACAGTTTGTACAATCAATTATGAGAGGGTCGTGCCGTTAAGCTGGACAATGACAGTTCAGAGACAAAAGTTTACTAACCTTGTTGAGACTGTCACAGTCGATTTTTGCAGGGACAGTATACTGATGCCCATGATATCGCGATGATACGAGGTGCGTTGAGGGAAGGAAACATCTACACCGGAAAACTTCTTAATTATAAGAAAGATGGAAGTCCGTTTTGGAATCTGCTCACTATCTCTCCGATTAGGGATGATGGCGGGAGGCTCATAAAGTACATCGGGTACGTCCCGTAGGCGCTCTCTCTCTCTCTCTCTCTCTCTCTCTCTCTCTCTCTCTCTCTCTCTCTCTTCCTTCTTCCTTCTCTTGCATCTTACTCACCAGTTTTATAGACATGTTAGTCCTGGGCCAATTTAGTCAGTGACGTTTTCAGATCAAGCAAGGTCCCTCCTTTCATTTTAAGCCACTGCGGTTGATCAGGTTTTATGTTATTTATAACGATGCGATGTGTCTCGACTTAGACATGTGATTGCTCTTTCAGGCGTTCTTGTATAACGGGAGCTGAGTGAAGCACGCTCACTTTTACGCTTCGATAGGATTTTACACTAGCAAATTTCTTCTTAGTACTCTCTTGATACCTTCCAGCTTTACTCTTCCGACCCGTCAGTTGAGTTAACCGCTGGATTGCTCAACCCCTTTTGTCATGCAGGATCTCTTCTTGCTGTCACTAGTGGATTGGACTGTGTTGGATCTTGTTTCAAGCTCCATTCATCTAGGGTGACGTCCTTGGTGTGATTTTTGCATTTATTTTGGCAATGTGAGATATAGAGCTCACTATACGGCTTGAGTGTACCGTCAAACCTTTTAATCATATTCACAACCCAATGGCCTATACTGAGTACATGTACTCTGTTCGCTATGTGGATTTAAATTTACATATGGCGAGTGACTACGCGATGTTCTTTCTGGGTTTACTGTCAAACGGGCACCTGAGGAGACGCATCTATCTCTTCAGATTCCGTGTTGGTTTCAACGAAGATACGACGGCTTCCATGCGACGACTTGCAGCTGAAACCTGCTTTCTATACTTTTGCTCATGTACAAGAGGTGGTCAGGGCCTAACGAGGTCTTGAAAATAGCGGGAGCGGGTTGATGCACACTCTTCATTACATTTGATGATCACTTTAATTACGGTGTCTGGGTTCTTATTCAGCGTTGATACGTTTTACGTCAGCTCTTTCATCCCCCGGTACCTTTCTGAGTATCGAGGTTACGTTTCAAATCCACTGCCTCCTTTCTATGTTAAGTCACTCGACGTCAGGTGTCCTGCATGATTGACATTTCCGAACGGTTGATGGTACCTATTCATTGACTTGGGCTCTTTAAATTTATTATGCTTCCACTTTCTTTCATGGCAGAATTCGATCATCTTTGGCTCCTATACTTGATTGGATGCCTTTGCTTATTCGCCTGAATTCTCATCTTTCGCCTTTGATTTGCCTTAACTCTATTTATTATGAGACCTGCAGAATAAATACGTCTTCAACGTACTGCTACCCTCTTGATGTCAGTCACATGGGATAAGAGGACCTATGTGGACTGATGAGTTCTTCAAATTAGAGGGAGCGGGTTATTGCTCGTTCACCTTTTTTGTTGATTGCAGTCTGTGGATTCTAATTAGCATTTGTACGATCTACGTTAGCAGGTATGGTATTGCCTATTTTATACTCACGCTCCCACTGCCTCCGTGCCACGTCTTGTCATTTAACTTCTAACTTTCTGCAAGATTGTGATACACCTAGGATCTTATTCTTAGACATGGTACCTGCAGCTTTTGTTACACTGTAAATGTGCTACAACTTTGTCAATGTCGAATGTCCGTCACAAAGTCGAAGGCCCGTACTGCAGCTCCTATTACGCTTTCAATGTGCTACCAGCCTTTTTTACTCTAATGTCGGTCAGTCCCCAAGGCCCGCACCAGGGATCAATACCTGGTACCATGTCATAATCAAGAGAACCTCAGCGACCTGACGAGGGGATAAAAATAGTTCGAGCTGATTGAAGCACGCTCGCATCTCTCGTTGGTTACAGTCCATTTTTTCTGTGACGCAAAATATCGCTACTAGCTTGCAGGTACCACCGGAATGTTATTCTATTGATGCTCTCTCTGGCATCTTTTGATCACAACAGCAGCTGGCTACTACCTGTTGTGCACGAGTACACTCCGTTGCTACTCCAAGTGCAGGTTTCTACATCCACCTGAAACGTACAGATCTTTCTAGGCTACGATGTTTCCAGCTGTCGTTCGTCATTTCTTACATGGTCAAAAGCCTACAGCAATGCTTCTTTCGCTGCCGGTAGTTCTATCTGCAAACAGCGCGTCTAGATTTCTAGACGCTGCTTCTACGCCCTAGACAGCACTCTCTAACACTCAGCTAGAAGTTACTTCTGCTGCCACCCAGTTTACTTCTCAGCATTCTTTCATCACCAACATAACTCACGCTTCTTCTGTTTTACCTCTCCTTCTCCGTCGTTCCTTGGAAGTTACACAGGATTCCACGAAAACCGCACGATTCACAGTCTCAGCTACTGATACCACTCTCACGCAAGTCTTTACATAGTTGGGTTTGGCTTACTGGGAGCTCTCTCCCACATTTTTTGAAATATGGGCTGCTTTTCTGCACCAGAAAGGGCTGTAGCCGTTCTCCTCATGGATAGTGCATACTTTTACAGGAATTTGTAGCGTTATCCATTAGTTTAACCTGATCACCCATTGCAGGCCCACTGCTCACCACTTCTCCTCTAATGTTGAGACTCTACCAACGTTTACACTGACATCAAACTTACCGACCTAAAACAAAGGATAAGATAACCCTTTCTTTGCCCAGTGTCTTCACACTGATGCAAGGAGCTACTTTACCTTTAAACTCTATGCTGACCATGGCCAGTTCACCACTCTGTCTAGTTGGGCTCGACACTCTTCAGAGGGTTCCAACTGTCCACCATCTTTGTGAGTTTTCCCCTCTCAATATTTATTCACTACTTGGCTGCATTTCTGACTGGATAAGCTGAACTCAACATTCGAGGGAGCTTTCCATCGGCAACCAACTGTGCTGGTTTTTTTGGCTAAATTCCTATGAATTTGACTCACACGAGTTTACTTTTCCTTTGTGACATTCGAACCTTTCACTAGACTCCTTAGCCTCTCAGCGCTCGACGGTTCGTAGACGATTTCGTTGCCCCTTATGTCCCGGAGTTCACAAATTTATGTACATCTTTCTACACGCTATTGCACGGGCTGTGTATCGTAGGGTTTCATGCGAGTTCCATGAAACCTTCTCCGCTAACTCTTTTTGCTTTATGGTTTTGACCATTTCCCAATCTGCGCCGAAACTTCAGATCCAGGTCCACGACGATCGACGAGACCCGGATTTGAACTAAGTGCAGCTTATTGCTCTCCTACGTTTCTATCCACGATTCTTTACAAGTCTGAATTAGGAGTCACTAAGGTGAAAGGCGCCCGTGTACATCTTAACAGCATCTTTTTCAGACCCCAGCCATATCAATTAGCCACGATGACGCCCACCACTACAATATGCGTCTCATACACTGTGCCCTGGCTTCTGTTTTACCTCGGAAAATTCTCCTTCTAGGCGATTTCGCTACGGGACTTTGTCAATTAGGACGACAGGCCACCTACACATGTCGGGGAGCTTGTCGACAAGCCTGTCTTCTACCTTAGTTCGTCCATTACCTCACTTTCCTCTTCACGATGGCTTTCAGGTGCACATTTCTGTAGACAAGTAATACCGTGATTCCTCGCTTTCTCTACGTTATCCATTCATTGACTTATTGGTTTTCCTGGTTATTAATCACAGAGTTCTCTCGATTTGCATTTTTCTCCCTTCACGATGGTTTTCAGAATGGTTTACACTCGAACTGCCAGTATTTCAATTATGTGGCATGTGCTAATCTTTACGGCATTCACTACTCTCTGCTTGCTCCTCCGCTCGGCTTGTAGCTTGTTTGTGCCAGGCAATATCTGATCTAGGTCTTGGGATTCAAGTTAACCTCAGATTCCGTGCCGTCTCGTCCAGACACCTGTGCACCTGGGAATCTAGAGATGAAGCAGCTGAGTGTAAAAGACGGGTGTGTGTGGCTCCCTTTTCAATATCTTGTTGATAGTCACTGTAGGACAGTATTTATTCGGACCGGATCTATTCCGAACACTTACATTCACTTTTAATTCTACAGTTGGTCTCCTCCGTGTACACCTCCATGTTACTACGTCCTATTCATCCCTCGGTTTTTATATCTTCTTACAACTTCACGTTCAGTCCAGGCATATTACGTCCCACGGTTATGATTTTCTTCTTCCGTCTTGCTGTGTAGTATGTTTCGTCGGCTCATTTGAGATGGAACACCTAGATCTTCATTGCTCCGGTCATTTACCTGGAAAGCCCTTGCGGCTGCTCGTGTATTATGTAATCTATGTGCAGGCTTTTCTTGGGGTTTACTCTTGCTTAATATAGTCACTATCACAGTCTGCTTTTTACCTCTTTCCTATGCCTTGATTTGTGCTCATTATGTTCGCATGGTCGTTAATCGCTTACTTATATTCAGCCGCTTCAGCGTTATCAATATCGTGGCCCTTTTATCACCTCAGAGTTAGAAGAGTAGTACTGTTTGCGTCCACATTTCCCTCGCTATTGGGTAATCGTTACCTGACAAGTGCACTGTAGTGTAATCTTATGAGAACAGTAGCGTAGACATATTCGGAATCCTTGAGGTGAGGGAAGGAATATTTGCAATTCGAAAGTAATTTGGGGAGCTGTGTTATCTTGATGTTCACCACTTAAGTGACATCGATGATTTCTGGACCTTAAAAGTTGAGCTCCGATCATATGTCTCTGCAAATATGCTTCATATCATCTCAAGTTTATTAGTTCTTGTATGTTGGGTCTCTTGGACAATCTGAGAGATTACGTTCAAGATAAATCTGTTGCTTTTCGCTTCCAACGTACTCCGTTTTATGCCGGTTACTGGTTCGGTGTGCAACCATAGTCTCGTCGGTGATGAATTAGTGTCTTCATTTCTGTTTTAGGCATGTTACCAACATACGGTTGAATGCTGAGGGAGACGCCGTGGAAGTTTTGCGGGTCTGGCGTGCTTGCAAGCATTTGGCACGATTATTGAACTTAAACTAGGACGCTGTGAAGTTGATAGTTGGAGACCACGTTTAGTCCCAAGTTTACCCAGTATCATACATACTGGTCTAATCTGCTTTCAATTGTTTTGTTGTTCGCAAAACCCAGAGAAGTCGGTACTTTTTAGGCTCACTTATTGGTGCTTCACTATCGCGAGGTCTAACTTAATTCCCAGTTACCTGGTGGACACCTGGAAACCTGGAACTTGTCCCATATACGAGGAAAAAATCCATAACAAGAGACGTTCTTCACTTTACTTAGAGCTGTCTGGTTTTGCTCCTACTTACTTCGCCGTCTTATCCAAGCATTCAGTCTCCTTATAGTAGGTTAGCTCATCCAGATCGCGGGCTCTATGGCTTCAGGGAATGATAGGCACTTACTAATGAATGCAGTACTTGTACTCGGAGTTTCATGACTGTCAGATAAATCTTGCATTATTTGCATGTAGATTTATGTTCATCTAGGTAGAGATTTGCAAGTACGAGGAGCGTTCCCTCTCCCTCTCCGTGAACGGGATAGTGTTCTATTGTTCTGGTTTGTTTGATCTACACACATGACATGTGCGGTTCGCTTTTCTCCTGAGAAGTAGAAGAGTCTTGTAGTTATTTGATTTCTAGTCTCAGACCTTTTTGTTTCAAATTCGTTTGTTCTGATTTGTGCGCCAGTCGCTGTAGATAGTTGAAACCTACTTTTCTCGTTGCAGAATGCAGGCGGAAGTGACAGAGAGCGCCGCCATTGGGAAAGCTCTGGATCAAAATGGAGTTCCTGCTGACGTTAAGAATCTCTTTGAAGCAGGTATCCTTGAACTGAATATCCCACCGATTGAGAAGATGCAGCTCTTATTTGGAGCTATCTGTCTGGTCGTAAATTGGAGTTACAAGAGATAAGTTTTTTCAGCTTTGTAAAGAGCTTAGAAGCAAGGAACGTAACAGGAAAGAAAAGAAGGAAACTCTTGCATCCATTTAAGATCTGAAATTTAACCATGTCTTACTGCTGCGCCTAGCTTACAGAGTGTCTACATCAGTTCTGAATCTTTTTGGTCTCATTTTCCCTTTTAATTTCACTGATGATCCTACAGGAAAGATTTCTTCCAGCCGGTCCTGTAATCCTCGGGCTTTCAGCTGGTAGCAGGCTATTTCTTCTGTTGTGAAGTCTGAGGGAGATTACTTTTATATAAACGGAAGCCAATAATCATTTGTCTTTATGCCTCCTCAATTCTAGATAAAATTTTTTTATCGAATAAACTCTATCCCGCTCAACTGCAGAGGACCATCCTACACTTTCTGCTATGTATAGTCGTAAGCGACCACTGGTTGCTTGGAAATACGCTTGCACTTAAGGCAACCTCATTTCTGAGTATTTATCCCTAGCTGAAACTGTATCACCTGAAGCTCTTTCTTGTATGCTTTCTGTTTCCTGCCAATGTTTGCACTTTCCCTCTTTCGTACATCCACATTACAGACATGCATCAACATCCCGTGCAAACAGATCGCCATCTTGTGGACTTTTTTTCACTTGACAGAGCTCACCTTTATTTGACATTTAGGTGGATGGTAATTAATGCTCTTGTGGTCAGAATTTTAATGTAACAGTTTCACCTTCTAACAATTTCCAACCACTTCTTTATAATCTAACAGTTCACGGGTGCAGTTCACGGTGTGATTAGTAAGGAATGATTTTAGTCAAGATGGGCAAGATGTAGAATATAATTTCATTTAGTCTGAACACACAATTAGACACTCGAATTTATTTCATTTTCTCTAGCCACAATTATAAAGTTACAAAGATAACCCTAAATCGATAACTCCAAAATACTACTCTTGGGATGGAGTTCGATCCCCTGCCTAGAATCTTTGAAATTTACTAACCACGTCCACATGTCTAGCCCACCCTCTCTAGTGTAAATAATAGAAACAAAAATCATGCTAACTAATCAATGCATGAGTCTAATCCCATACCTAGAATCTGTGAAATCTGGCAACCACGTCGACATGTATGTTACCACCGCTCTAGTTTTAATAGCATAAACGAAATCGTAGTAATTAGTTATTGTATTGTACCAACTGATCGAGTTGACAATCCAGTATTACGTTTTATGTGTATATCTGGCGCTTTCTGGCCAACGAGATTAGTACTACTGATGCATCTTCTCCGGGCGTCCCAACGTACACTTTGCAGTACGCACCAACTATGACGCCCATGTTACTGGCCGTCTGGTATATAGATACCAAACTGGGCTCCATGCCGAAAACATTTGTCTGTATCTCTGCATCGTCTGAATTAGTTTAGTTACCTTTGTCGATTCGATCTAGTTTCCATGCTTTTTCCGGCTTTTTGGTCCATCCGTCCATGTCATTTGATTAGCACCGTTGAAACGAACCACCTTAGCTTGAGATGTTTATGCTAGAGTTGATTTGGTCCCCTTGCATGTTAGCCCCTGCGGTTGATCATGGACTATTTTATCTATGCTGAATTATTTTGTTTCTAATGGAGTTGTCCAAAATTTTCGCCTTCTTGGTCTTTGTGCGCATGTCTCTTTCTGTTGGATATCACTTAGTCATGGGACGTACCACCCGTTGGTGGTACTTACCATGACTTGAATATGTTAGGTCCCCATGAGCTATATCATGTATTTAAAAAGTTGTCCAACTTTCACGACGGTCAAATTCTCTTTATGAGCAGCCCTTCTATTTTACGAATGTCGCTACACTGTAGACCATGAAACTACGTGTAGATACGTTTTACATTTGAACGGAGTCTACCTCCGTCTAGTGGATCAATCTTCCTTTGATTCTTGTGTTTTTCTGTGGTAGAAGGACGAAAGAAGACAAAAGACAACCGAACTGCTGGTGGCGTGACCTCGGAAACTCGTGTGCACAGAAAAATTTCTGAGGAGTCCAACTGTCAGCGAACTTCTCGTTCTCAGTACTCTTTGTCAAGTTCTCGCCAGTCATTTGAAGTCTCATCGAACGTTACACTGGCCCTAGACGTCCACACCCCGTTAAAGACGGGAACAGAGGTTGCTGCGTTCAGTGCAGAAGCTGTGGACAGTGGCGGTTTTCTGGAGGTTCCAAAAGCACTAAGAGGTGAAAGTAGCTGCATGGTTGATACGAAGAATACCAAACGCACATCAAGCCTTCTTAAGATGTTCAAGTAAGTTGTGTGCAGTCGAGTTGTGTTTCACCGCTAGTTGCCTGTTATAATTACTACTTACCCGTGTCTTTGTACTGTTGGGTTCTTCCTCTCTGATATCAGCACCTTCTTCCGTTTATACTCCTACTGGACACCCTACTATTCGTTGCTTCTACTTTCGAAAGCACTTGCTACTCTGTGCTCACTTTTCCTAGTGGTTCGTCCTTTCGCCCGTTTCCGCTCATGCATTAATAACTTAACGATCATCTACATATTGTGAAGGGACTCTTTAGGACCTGAACTTGTCAAATGACTGTTTCGTGCTTAAATATAGACACTCGAGAATAAGTTTTAAATATAGCTCGAAATGTAACTTATCCTTGTAATCTATCTGAGCACTGTGGAGAAGAAGTATTGAAACGGGCAACTTTGTCTACGATGTAGGAGGCATGGCTTGTAGCTAGTGGGTCTGTGTGGTGATGCTTCAAGTATATACTATATATACATGATATATATCCATCTGTAAGAGGTCCTTGGCTCTACAGTTCTACGAGTATCACGATGCCAATACGGCTGTTGACAGTAGGAGATGGGAGGAAAACACAATGCTTTCCTCTCAATCTGGTACTGAGCCCAGGTTAACAAACTGTGTATGTTGCTGGCATAGCTATCCTGTCTTACCTCTCCCAGTCCACGGTACTTCGAACTCGTTGGTTTTAGGCAACATTCTCAGTGTTCTCTGTACGTTATCATGGTGTCTTTGTCAATCAAACACCTCTTTATCGTAAATTTTGGAAACTAAGATACTTGTTTACGTTTATAAAAAAATTACACCTCTGTGACGATATTACATAATTATTACCGTCACATTCTCAATTTGCTTGACATACAGCACAACATCTTCATCTGCCTCTACACAATGTTTTATATTGATATGATCACAAGATCATTCTTGAAAATATCCAAGAAAACATGGATGATAATTTTGAATTCAAGCGCTAGCACACCACAACCTCCCGCTGCTGGAGGAATAGAAGAAAATTCGGGATTTGATCGTACAATGTTTGAAAAGCCTTTGTTAAGTAATATCTAGAGGTGGATTAGTTAGTGAATGGCTTCTGATAGACATTGAAAACCTCCGGAAGAACCTCATCTGCGCAGGGGTCACTCGCTGTTTGTTGCATGGCGACGCTTCGGTTGGCACTTCGCTATCATCTTTCATCAAATCCGCTAGTTTAAAACCTTGTGATTTGCAGAATGCCCGTAATCCGAGACGGAGTATGTATGTCCATTGTGTTTCTAAAGATAAGTTGCCTATTCCGAGATTGACTTGTTTACATCTCTATCACTGATTCAATTAAAGTACAAAATCATAGAGGTTATTTTTTGCAGGTTATTTTTTAAGCCTTTCTAAAGTAGTCTTTCTTGTCGGGTTCCTTATAGCGTTACATCTTCTTTGAGTGCCATATACTTCAAATTAGTACGGGTCAGCCACTGCGCGGAATCTTTGGTGTTAGGCTTTGAAAGGTACGTATGACTACAGTGTGTTCAGTACGCTGACTCCTGTTTTCATACACTGTTGTCACGTATGACATTTCGGCATTTCTAACCGTATCCCCATTGCATACATTTTTGCAAGAAGATTTTCCCTTCACTTCGCCTACTTCTGATAAGCCTACATTCGGTTGTTTTAGTTACGCTGCCACAAACCTCAAATATGGGTTGTCCATGGTTTTTCCTTCTTTTGTTACCCTGTTAATCTTAAGCTGTACCCAAGTTTCTATTTTTATTTCCTGTTCAGTTTATTGTCTAGTTGTATTTCTCATACATCGTCAGTTCTTCATGTCACGTCAACTCGTTCTTGTCTTCACTGCATGCTCTTGTTTAGATTCTGCTTCTCTTTTCATTTTCTTCGCGACTATGTCTTTTCATGATTTATCTATTTTAGCAAACTATCAATTTACAACTGTGCCCACTGACATTGACTTCCAGGATCTAAAACTCGCACAGCCCTTCTCGTTGGGATCCTTTTCCTTTCCAATCTGGTTCAAAGACTGTAGTACTTACTAACACATCACTTAGCTTTAGATTTTATTTCTTTGCAGTATAATTTCGTCACGAGTAAATTCCGACTGTCTATTTATCTGTGAGCACTTTGTCACAGCTACAGACATAATAATGCTGATAATTTCTGATTGATAGGTCACGTGTTGCCAGTTGATTTACAGTTATGACTTTGGGAACCTATGAGTGCATAATGTACACCCATAATGTTCATTATTCTTAGCCAACGTCTCATTCTTTACCTACGGGTTGGTACTTTTACAACGCCTCACTATGCAGGTATTCTGCAGTTAAGCATCTGTGTTACCCTCCAATCTTTTAATAGTCCGTCGTGTTGTCGAAGGTTTCTGGGTTCCTCGTTGCGTATGTTTCTCAACCTTTGTGTACTTCTCCGACAAATATCTTGGTGGAGGGATTTACCCACCTCGTAGTTGGGAGCTGTTCAGGTCTTCGTCTGGTACCAGTGGCAACCTTCTAGACCCATATCCTGGACCCTTGCAATCGGCCTGACTGCAGTTGTATTTGATGTGAGCAATGAGCTCAAAGCGATTGAAGAGAAATATGTACATATCAAAGAAAGAGTGCAAAGACGATAGAACACTTACAAACGTAATTCTCCTCATTTACTTACTTTGGTTCTTAACCCAACTAATCAGAAATAGAAACCAAATAGGATAAAAGAGATAGTTTACCTATAGATATATGTTCTACTTTATAGTCGCTTTAGTTTTTCTTCTCTTTATTCCAGTCTTCATGATTTGTCATGTTCGCTAGCACCCGTTGCTTTCGGTGCCTCGTCCTGGAGATCGTTTCTGTACTAGGTATTTGTATTACTGTCCTTTTTGTCTTTCCGTCGTTCTTCGAGAGAAATTTTTGAGCACATTCTATGTTTGGATTGTAAAGCTTGAATTTCTGATATATATCTCATTCTCCTGAACCCGAAACTCAGGTTTTAAGCACAGGCAGGTCGTATTGCTAATGTTTGCTAATTGCAGGAAGTTGAATGGGCGCTTTTCAAAGCGTGGTTCACGAGACTACAGTCATGAGGATCCGATTGCTGTAGAGGATCATAATGATGTTGTGTCGGATCCTGACGACGAAGATGTGGATGACTTTGAGGGCAAGCAGCGTCGCAGCAGCTTTTATTCCAGCACAGAAAGTCTTGTTGGAAAACAAGAACTTGACCAAACTTCTGAATTTATGCGGGTTGGGAAAACTAATAGGCAGTCAAGACAATTTTCGGAAGAAAGGCGCGATTGTGCGGGAAGGATGGATTGTGAAATCCCATTGAGACAGGAACGCTTTAGTGGCGATCACTCAAGGCCTGGCTCAAGTGAACATGGCATTGGAAGAAAAGTCGTGAGCTACGGACGTAGGAGTGCTGAGTACCCTGTAGGTGCGGTAAATGCGTTCCTGAAAAATGAGGGTCTTGCCTCACATGCCATTGATCGTCGACACAGCATTGCCACTGTTCCGTCAGTCACACGGCCAAGTTTCAGCGTTGACGGGAAATCACAATTTTGCATTGTGCACCCTACGGCACCGGGACATTGATCCGTTTGGCTGTTATATTTTCCTGGTGGAATCACATGACAACCCTTCATGTGACCCTTCAGTCTTCCCCCTTGTCGATTTGACCTTGAGGGGGAAGACAGATACTTCTGACAGTTCACGGACACATAGTGAAATGGTCCTAGTCTGACAATAGAATACTCAGCAGAGGTAAGTATGATGGGTATTTCTGGGTCACAAATTTAGTACTATCCGCCGATATGCAAGGCTTTGTATAGGTAAAGATTAGGAGGTCTGGTATGCTTCTTTGGGCATATCGCCACGAACACTTGTACAATATTTAACATATTATCGGTGTTGATTTATCAAGTTGGGAAGATCAATGTAGATGTTTTGTGAATTCGACAAATCTCAAAATCCCATGTCCCCTGCACGATTGACACGAATTTCTTTTTGTAAGCTTTCCGCAGTATGAATTCTGTTTGTATGGTGACTATGCACGCATAGTCTCCATACAAAGCTGGAAACTATCTTAGGAGGAGTAGTTTATGTTTTCCTTTTTGGTGTGATGCTATCAAGAACTAGGTCCATGATATTTTGTTTCATGCATACAAGATTTCAGTGGGTATCACCGAACTTTCGATCTTCTCCATTGTTCTCCACATACTTGTACAGACAAGCCGGAGAGGGGTTTGGTGTCGTTTACAGTATCCACCAACTCATACGTATGTGGTGACAGTCTACCATCATGCCGGGGAAGCAGTTTGGTTGAAATTTTTGAAATTTGAAACTAACACTTTCCAATATTTAATTCTTCAGAATGGCAATGCGCGGAATTTGAGCATCCTCACTTACGTCTAACGCACGGGCTCGTCCATCAATCTTCACAACTTCTTCGCAACGGTTATCCCTGTAATTCTCAGAAAGTCTTTCCGTAGCATGTTCATTTTTTTATTTTAAGGACAATGCTAATGAGATTTTGCAAGCCTTTGATTCCATTGTGCTTAGTTTGCTTTGATACTTCGATCAAACTTTACCTGAGATTGGCTTGACAGTATTCTTGTCATTGCTTTTTTACTTTGCCGTTAATCCCTTATATATTTAGGATTACTTAAACTAAACTTTAAATCTAAGAGGTATTCATTTTATTTTCTAAAATAGAATTTTCACAAGAGATGATTAACATTAATATTTGTTTTACTAAATTCAATGACAACGACAGTAAGATATTTTTTTATTTTAAGAGTGCTGAGTAGATATTTTGTGTTATATCATAACATTAAATTGGTTTGAGAATTATAAACACAAATTTGAATATCTTGCAAGACTGTTGATCTTTTTTTATGAATATAATCATTCAAAATTGGTTAAAATTAAAGTAAAGTTTATTCAAAATAAAAGATAAACATGATTAATAGATAATCTAGAATTTTAGAATAAAAAATCTCTATAACAAAAAATTGAATGTATTAATTGAAAACAACATTTTTAACAAACGGTGTACTTATAAATACATATTATTGATTAGTTAACAATGAAATAGATGACGGAGATGAAATTAGGGTTAGTTTATTTGAACAAATAACACAAAATCAATTTTGGATATTCAATAAAATTAAAATGACATTCATGAAGGGTGGAGTAAGTATAATTTGATAAAATCAAATAAAATGTACATGATTACTATTTATATTAAGAAAATCAAATCAGAGTCAAGGTTAAAGCTACAAATATGGTCAAGATGTTGAGATATGTCAATGACAATGATGAATACATTCTCCAAAAACAAATTGTAATAATTATTATGTTACATTTAAAACTTTTAATCTTGAAACATTTGATTAAGTATGACAATTATATTGCGTTTTTTGAAGCTTGTAAGAGCATTTTTTGAAATTTTTTTTGTTAAATAGTGGCATTACTTCTTGAAGCTCATGAATTATATAAATGAAAAGTTTTAAGAGAAATATTGAATATTACACTAATACTCTTGATGATCAAACAATTGATCTTCAAAATTTTAAATTAAGAATTAATGATGAAATAAAACTCTTCATTACTTAAATTAGGGAGCCGCTAGTCACCACTCACTTTTCGCTATTCACCACTCACCCTCAATTTTAAAGAATCCCTGCGCACTTTTCTCACGCTCCGAGTGGATTTAGGGTCTCCGCTTGTTGCACTTGGCTAGGGTCTGACGGCCAGTCGTGACTTCAGACCGCGACGGAGACAAGGGGCCGTGTCTCGTGTCCCTAATCCAAAGATCGGAGTTCGAACCGCAGAGGAGGCAGAGTGGCTCGAAAGCGACCATTTGCCGATATTAGAGTGAGAGTGAGAGTTAGAGCAGCATTGTTCTGCAAGGGAAAGCCGAGCAATGCCAACGGAAGCAGCAATGACGTCGTCCGCGCGTGTGTGAGCGCTGCTTTGGGTCGCTGTCATGCTTCATGTTCTTTAAAATTGGGGGTGAGTGATGAATAGCAAAAAGTGAGTGGTGACTAGCGGCTCCCTTAAATCATTACTTTTTATCAATCATTATAATATATATTGCGTTAATACGATATCAAGAATTTATACAACAAAGTTATAAATGCTTTATAAACTGATGATTTGCAACAAAATATGATGTAATCTTCTCCATCTGATATGAGGATTTTTGTGATAAATTTGAGTAATTCAACATACTTCTTGTTTGCTCCAATAATGTTAAATTTAGCCATCCTGCAACATTATTTTGCGGTGATATATATTTTGTAGTGCAAAGTTAAAGTATTATAATATGCTTGAAATATTTTTCAAAGCTTTAAAAAAATTTATTGTGTTTAGTTTGATTTCAAACATATTTAATGACAAGATTCTCAAGAGAATCACAAGATTCTCAAACGCTGCAAATGTAAATATCCAAAAGAGCTCTGCACGTTGAGAACACACTCTCACTCACATGTCCGGGTCATCAAGGTTTACCATCTCGTTAGACTCACACGAATCGATGTCGGCAAGTTTGGATCTTGGCCATACTATGGTGTACAGTTCTTTCAAATTTTGGATAAAAGAATAAATTAGAAGTGTATTGGATGAAGAACATGTACATACAGGTTCATAATTGTTGGAGTTAGAAGGTATAGAGAAAATTGGGTAACCAGTAGTAAGGCTGGATGAAATTTGACTTCGGAGCCTTTGGCCGAAGATCTTCGCACTTCGGCGCAAATATCTTCGACCATGTAGTAGACGGATCTTTGGGGAAGACGACTTGTCACAATTCAAATTTTCCAGAGGTCAGACATGAAATACTAGCCATGCAGGTGCAAATTTGCACGCGTGCGAGGACCGTTAGGGCGTCAAGGGTAAGTTCCCACTAAGTGGGAACTGCGCGCCGACATTTTGCGTGAGTGAGAATTGGAATTGGAGAGATCAAAGACTATTCGGCAGGAGACATGGCGCACACTAGGAAAGCGTGGATATCAAAATTGATCTCATCAAATGTGCTAGATGTGGAATTACGGAAGTATCGGAAGGAATTGATCGCATTACGACGGAATTTCTTACTCTTGGATTGGAATTGCGTATCAGCGACGATATGTAAGGAATGGCTGGAAAAGAACAAGAATGTGGGATCGACCTTCGCGGAAATCCGTTGCTGTGGACGATCGAGCATTGGACGCGCGCCTTAGGGCCATGGGCGGGCAAGAAAAGGGATTTTATCTTTGAGAATGAGAGCGTTAGAGTGACGCGGGCCGAAGAAGCGACGTTTGCGAAGCTGTTTACAAAGCCTCGATCGAGCACGAACGGCTACAGAATTAACGAGTACTGTGATCCGAAGAGATGCGCGGTATCTATAGCTTTGATGCACATCTTGCGGCCGCAGCGAACGACATATGTGACTGCATGGCAAGTCCGGTTTATAGAGCGCGTAGTACGAGGGAAGACGATTCACTAGGCGAAGATCTTCTAGAACTTGGTTCGGACCAACGTCGGAGACAAGTGGGACGGAGCCACGGTAAATTACATGAGGCCTTTCTTGGTTAATCTCTGCCGCGGGATGGACTTGTTGATGAAGATCGAGGAGCAAAGATTCCCTAAGGAAAGGAAGATCCTAGAGTAAGATAGCACCTTCGATGAAGATCGTCAAAGATGTTGAGAGAGTGGCAGGAGAGTGTGCGGCAGTGACTGCAAGTTTGAAGATGTGTGAGGAGCAACTTCAAGCAAAGGAAATGGAGTGCAAAGTTCTTTGTTTGGAACTGGCCAAGAAGGAGTTTCAGGAGGAGGAAGAACTGAGAACTGAAGGTTTTTGGCGAGAGATTGCGATGATGAAGACGAAGACCATGGATCTTGGGGAAGGATCGAGGCACGAGGAGAAGCGCACAATGTGGAGTTGCAACGTGTGAATGAGTTTACAGCAAATTTGGCGGAGCAGACACAGAAGCACGAGGCCGAATTGGCTAGTTGGACAAAGAGATTGATTGAATGCGAGGCTGCCAAGTCTTCGGAGGTCAAATGTAGAGTAAAATTGGATGCAAATTGCGATCGGCTGCAAACCCAGCTGAAGACGGTTGAGTAGCAGTTAGCGACGTCGCGGATCAGAGCGGAAGCGGCGAAATTGACGGTTTGACAGTTGAAGGAGTAGACGATCGAAGGTTTGCGTTTGCGGGTTGAGAGATGTCTACGCGGTTTCGTCGAGTGGGAAGTCCAAACGCTGAAGTGGACATAATTGGACATGCAGGAGCAGCGATTGAGGGAATCCAAGGCAAGCAAAACCGTTGGGCACCTGCAGTTAGTTAGATTAGTGAATTCTTTCTCTTCCGGATTGGAAGAGGCGAGGGAGAACTTAGAGTTAGAGATTTTAGGCGTTTTGTGTAGGCTAGGAGAAGACAAAAGCTCAGCGGACGTAGTAACCGCTACGTTGATTGATTTCACACATGATGGTGGCTCACCTCAGGCGGATGAATCGTCAAGATGTTCATTGTGAATAAAGAGGTCCAAGGCTCAAATCTTGAGGAGGGGCTTTTCAGTCAATTGACTTGTCTCAGCTTTCAATTTGTGTCTATTGTGCGCGTTTGTGAGATTGTGTGTGGTTATCACCGTGCATGGTGCGCTTCAGTTTGTCGAAGATACCGCAGCGCAAGTCGCGGGTGTGCAATTTGAATGTTCTGAGTGTGCCTGAAGTCATTTGTAATTTAAGCAAGTTCAAATTTGGGTATTTGGAGCAGTCGGCTGAGGGTGCAATTCTGAAAAGTTTCCCCCTGAATACTGAGTGCAGGGTCGGGTGCAATTCCTACAGGCACTTATTGGACTTAATTCAGGTTGTGGGTGTTTATACTCTGCTCTATGGGCCTTCGGCCGTAATCGAGCAATGTCTTTTGGGAGTGACATGTGCTTGGAAAATAAAACTCCTCAATAGAAT